AGAAACCAGACACAAAAGACCATATATTATACGATTTAATTTACGTAAAATATCCAGAATAGGCAAATCCATAGAGACAGAAGGCAGACAAGTGGCTTCCAGGGCCTGGGAAAGAGAGGAGGGGGAGTGACTGCTTAACGGAAATGGGGTCTCCAAACAGGGGTGATGAAAATGTTTTACATCTAGACAGAGGTGATGGTTGTGCAACATTGTGAATGTACTAAAAACTATTAAACGGGTAAATTTGTGGTATTTGAATTATATCTCAATAAAGCTATTATTTTAAAAAAAGCCAACATTACAACTCAGAAAATTTCACACAAAATTATGGATTGATTTCTCAAAAAATCTCTACGATCTCATATCATTAGCCATAAGGTCCCTCATGTCAACCTAACTCTGGACCTTAACAGGACATGTTTGTCTCTGCCTCAGTTAGCTTCTCTGTAAAAGGATGATCATAACAAATAACAACATCAGTCTCATCAGGTTATTATGGGGAGTCAATGAATTAATATACAGAGAACTGAGGGCTGGCCCAGTGGCTCAGCAGTTAAGTGCACACGGCCCAGGGTTCGCCGGTTCGGATCCCGGGTGCAGACATGGCACTGCTTGGCAGGCCATGCTGTGGCAGGCGTCCCACATGTAAAGCAGAGGAAGATGGGCACGGATGTTAGCTCAGGGCCGGTCCTCCTCGGTAAAAAGAGGAGGAGTGGCAGCCGTTAGCTCAGGGTTACCCTTCCTCAAAAAAGTAAAAAAAAAAAAATATATATGGAGAACAGTCCCTGGCACACAGTAAGTGCTCATTGAAAGTTAGCTACTTTCATAGTTTATGATACCTCATCCTATTTGTAATAGAGGTAAATAGCATTTGCTTTTCAACTTTTTTTGTTTTCACAAATGAAAGCATAGCATATAATGTAGCAGTCCAAAAGAAAGAAGTGGAAAGACAGCCAAGATATAAATTTTTAAAAGGCAACATGCAAAATACTATGCATAATATGTGCCTATCTTTGTGAAAAAGTAATGATGATGATGGTAAGTCTGTGCACAGAAAACAGACAACTCTGGACTTACGGAGAGCAGAGAGTGAAAGAACGTAATTAAAGGGGCTTTTTATCAACATACATATTTACATAGTGTTTACATTTTTCCAGCTTTATTGAAATATAAATGACTTTTAACATTGTGTTAAGCTTAAGGTGTACAACGTGATGATTTGATATATATACATATATAATTGCAAAATAATTACCACGATAAGGTTAGTTGACACATCCATCACCTCATACAGTTACCTAAATTTTTCTTAACAACACACTTGAATAACCAGAACCTATAATAAGGATATTTTTTAAAAGAAAAAGAAACTCTAAATTAATTTTGTTTAAGACTTTTGTGAGATTGTCATAAAATTCCATCATGTGAGTAGGAATATCACAGATTGATAAAACCAGAGGCCATTTATTTTGCTTTGAAACTCAGAGGCTGGGATTCCCGAAGTGCCAAAATCTCTTTAGTTTCTTTCTCCCTTATGGAGTATACACTGCTAAATTTTACAGCTGCCAACAGAAGAGATTCTAAACTCCGTGGCCTGGCAGTCAACACTTTCACCATCTGGCCCAACATCCTTCTAGGCTTTATCACCCATCCCGCCCCCTTGCAAAGACTCCACTCCAGCTAAACAAGCCATAAAATACACATCCCTCAAATGTTTTTCTGCATGCCATTCTTTTTTCCTTTTTAACTGAGGAAAAATTCACGTAACATAAAATTCACCATTTTAACCATTTTAAAGCATACAACTTAGTGACATTTAGTACATTCACAATGTGGTGCAATCATCATCACTATATGGTCCAGAACATTTTCACTGCCCCCAAAGGAAACTCTGTACCCATTAGGCAGTCATTCCCCATCTCCTATCCCTAATCCCGCCCCTTGAAACCACATTTATTGTCTGTCTCAACAGATTTGCCTATTTTGGATATTTCACACAACTGAAACCATACACTACATGGCCTTTTGTGTCTGGCTTCTTTCAGTTAGCATAATGTTTTTGAGCTTCATCCATGTTGGAGCATGTATCTGTAATTTATTACTCTTTGTGGCTGAATAATATTCCATTGTGTGGATATACCACAGTTTGTTTATCCATTCATCAGTTCACGGACATTTGGGTTGTTTCCACCTTCTGGCTATTGTGAATAGCTGCATGCCATTATCTTTCCCTTCTTTCAGTTTCATGTGCTAATAAGCAAAGTCTGGTGAGTTTCAAATCAACTCTTACCTCCCCCCAACTTAGTCTGGCCCAAAATTCTCACCTTTCTCTGAATTGTTTTACCACTTGTATACCCGAGGTAGCAAACTGTCAGTGATGGCAGAATCCCACAGACATATTTAGGTTGACTCAAACTGTTTTCTTTTCTTAAATTAGTTGCTAACATTGAAAAAACTCAAGAAAAATCATTAAAGTCAAGATTTCAGTTCCCTTAAAGTAAGTCTGGTAACATCATCATTTCTTGCCTGGGTTATTACAATAACCACAGTTTAACTGGTCTCACTGCTTTACCCTCGCCCCCCACAGCCTATTTCAATACAGTGGCCACAGTGGTTCATTAAAACAGAAGTCAGATCAAGTCACTCCTCTACTCAGAAACTTCCAGTGGACTCCCACTTCTCCCAGAGTAACAGCCAAGGCCCACTGGATGGCCTATGAGGCTGTGCACACTGGCCTTGTACCCGTCTGACTTTATTTCCTACCACTCCCTATCTACTCACTCAGCTCTGGCCTTCTTTCTGGTGCTTGGGCAGCCCAGGCAGGCTCCTACTTTAGGTCTTTGCACTGCATGTTCACTCTCTCCCCAGATAGGTCAGTGGTTCACTCCTTCACCCTTAATGCTCAGATCTCACCATTTCACCTTTACTTAAAACTGCGAGTCTGATCCCTCCTCAGCTCTCCTGATTCTCCTTATCCTGACCCACTTTTTCTAACCAATTATCATCATCTAGTATAATGTATAATGTATTTACTTATTACATTTGCTATCTATTACCTGTTTCTTTCTATGAAAAGATAAATGCCACAATGGTAGTACTTTTGTCCCTTTGACTTACTAATTAATCCCCAGTGCCCAGAAGAGAGCACAGCATGTAGATGGTGCTCAATAAATATTTGTTGACTGGCTATTGGGTTTACAATCAGCTGGTGCTGAAAAGGGGCTGCCCTTTTAGCTTGGTCATGAATTTTTTTTTACACTTTTTTTTGCTGAAGAAGATTCACCCTGCGCTAACATCTATTGCCAATCTTCCTTTTGTTTTTGCTTGAGGGAGATTAGCCCTAAGCTAGCATCTGTGCCAATCTTCCTCTATTTTGTATGTAGGACGCCACCATAGCATGGCTGGTGAGTGATGTAGGTCCACGCCTGGGATCCGAACCCACGAACACAGGCCACCAAAGCAGAGCACATGGAACTTTAACCTCTTGGCCACAGGGCTGGCCCCTAGATTGGTCATGAATTGGACAGTTTCTCACAGTTCCACTTGGCCCATTTCATTCCTCTGTCTGGTCTCTGCAGACTTGAGTTTGTGATACTTCTTTTCCTGCCACTTGTCACTGACTTCCTGGTATCATATTAATCTTTTCATCAGAATAGTACTCAAAAAAGGACGTCATAATTGTAGTCTGTAGAAATCACCTCCTGTTCTCTTTTCCTCCTCAAGGACAATCCCTCTGCACATATTAGAAGCTCAATAAACAGTTACGGGCTAAAGAACTCCTTTGACATTTCTGTCAAAGGTGTCTCTTCTCTACCTTTCCCCCAGACCCCACCACTGCCAGTTGCTGATCACCCTCTAGCAAAGTCCTGCTTCTCTCTTCTCTGGCACTTTCCAAACATTCCACAATGAATGCCATCCTTTGTGGTAACTTTGATGATCACTGAAGAACACTTCTGCATTGCTGGTCTTTCAGCTTTAGGTCACAAAATTCTAAAGACCTATTTTGAAGGTGGAGACTTCAGAGCTGCCCAGTCCAGTATTCTTCTAAACATCTAAACAGAACTGCCACACGCTTTCTAAAGCTCCTGTTTCTGTGTGGTAATGGTCAAAATGTTATCTTTGCACATGTTCATGTTGTCCAAAATGTTTCCATCTTTACTATACTTGCCTAAAACCTGATTGAGGCATTGCATTTATTGCCTAAATATGAAAACTGCTCAATTTCAGAGTCTGAAACTCCTGTGGTCTTTCCCGTTTGGATTCTGCTCAGTTTATCCTCCCATGATGCATCTTAAACTGCATCTTACCTCATTAACCCCCTCATTGCTAAATAAAAATTCCTCCAGGAATTTTCCCTCTTTTTCACATTATGCGAAACTTACCACCTTCCTCCCCAAATAGTAAATGCACAATGGCAAAAGTGTAGTGACAAACTCAATTAATGATGGCTGCTATTTTTGTAATGATCTGGGACTGCTCATGAGCACAGAGCTGTCTGGCAGGCTGGGCAAAAGCACTTGCCCCAGAAAATGTGCCTGAAGATCTCTTGCCTGCTTTACAATTTGCTTAAGATCTTCCCTGCCCTCATCAGCTGGGTCTATGTTGCTTGTGGAGAGAAGAAAACAGCAGCTGGGGAAGGTGGAGCTGGACAGAAGCGCAAGAGTTTATCTTTGGACAACTTCCTAGGAAAAGGTGGATATGGATTTGGCCGGGTGGGGGGTGGTCCTATCTCCAAAGTCTTCCTGCAATTTTAATGAATTGGCGGGAAGGGGGTGGTTATCCAGCAGCTTTTGTTTTGACAAACATCTAATAATATTGTACTCTTAAATTCACTGTCATTTCACATTAGTAAGATCATACTCAGGCTTACGCTTAAAATTTGAGATCTTACTCAGATACCTTAAATTTTAAAAACTATCATCCTTTGGTAAAACTCAAGCACCATTATAATGGGAAGCATTGCATTTGTTCAGCTGTGCTATGTTAGAACAACCAGTTACCTTTTCTTTAGAGGGCAGGCCAAAAATCCTGATCGATTTACCAGTGGATCTTCATCTGCTGTGATTGTAGAAGCTCTTTCTTCTTAATTCTGTTCAGATCTACAAAAAGAGAAAAGGGGCAACAGGATGAAATAATGGATAAAGCTAATCAGAAATCTACAATCTCATTAGTTGACAGATGTGCAAAAATTATAATATGTGCTTTGAAATGTCAAAGTATTAAAATTCAAGGCACTTTACCAATTTTACAACAAACGCAATTCGGTTTTTTTTTTTTTTTTTACAATGAACTTAATTGGCTATATTTACAATGAAGTAAGAACAAATGACTATTCAGTATGTACATAGAATCAGCCTCCTGGGGCTTAAAATCATTGTGTGTAATTTGCCCTAATGAGTTTTTACTTAATTTTTAAAATGGCTATTCAGAGTCTGCTCCTATGAAACCTGTCAGAATCACAGATTTTAAAACACACACACACACACTGAACGAGATTATTATTTGGAGAGTTCACTCTGTCCTTGATCATTTAGCAGTTTATAAAAGCAATTCATAACATTATAAACAGGAAACAAAAACTCAATTAAACCATCCTCCTAAAAAGCACAAGGAAATTATGCATTCCATTATCTACATATTTTTGTGCATATGAGTACATATATATTTCAACTGGAATGTGGCTACTATTCAAATTAATTTAGGGAGGAGCATTGAGTTAAGAAGTCAAGGGATTGGAGATAAACAAATCAGAGTTAGAAATTAAGCTGGTTTTCAAGTTTGACATGCAGCAGAAGAGAAAGAACAGCAAATATGGGCAATGACACAGCTATGGAACAGATGCTGTCAAAGGATATAGCACAGGCAGGCTGATTTCATATGAAAAAAATCACTAGTAATACACTACTCTTCCTATAATCCTCACTGGCTCTGCACCAAGGTTGGGTGGTGGGAATATTGCTTCACTCAACTTTTATTTATTTTCATATACTCTAAAATGGTAAACCAAATATTTCTATGGTTTGAGATACTAATAAAGCATCCCTGAAAGTCAGTGGCTAAAATTCTATGCCACGTTTTGAACATTTATTCAGTTATCTTTATTGACTTTTAAGCTATTCCTGGATCATATCCTTCCTCTCTCTGTTTTTAAAAAAGTTTCAGTTTTATTCACCCACAAAATACTATTCAGTAATGCAATCATTCAGTAAAGTAATCATTCCTACAATCTTTATAAGCCACACGTTTCTCTTCCCCAGACTTCTAATTCCTTCCCAGTCTCCTATCTTTTAAAACTTTTCTCTGATTTCCATTTTAGTGCTCATTTTCTGCCTTGTTTCCAATAAAAGCCACTATCTTGCTTAACATGTCTGTCCTGAGCCAAAATTCATTTCTTTGCATCCTAAACATTTTACAGCTATGCAAAATCAATCAAAGAAGCTACAAATTACCAGGATAGAGACAGCCAATAAAGATGTTACGTTAGAGATAACCATTCACCTCCCTGCTGGTGATTCCTTCACAGCAGACTGCAAGTGGGGGGGGGGGGGGGGGGGGGGGGGGGGGGGGGGGGGGGAACAACACTGGCAGGAGATTAGACTCTGTGCTTGATCTTATTTCACTAGGTCAGACTATTTTTCAGTTTTCCACCTGGATATTCTAGCTAATCTCCAAAGTACCCAAGAAAGTCATCAGATTTTGGGTGCTATGAGATTGCCCTCAAGATACTGTTTGCCTTTAAAAGAATTCACTATTTACTAGCCTGCATATCTTAAAAATGTTTAAGGAAAATCTTATTCTTAGAGAAAAACAGTAGTGGCAGTTACTAAAAATAAGCCTTTAAAAATAGTAATTTCTCTACTTAGAACAGGGGGTCAGAAATCTTTCTTTAGTAGGAAAAAACCTATCATACGTTTGTATGTATTCTCTCATTTTATCTTCACGATGACACTGTGCTCAAAAGAGCTGTTATGATCCCCATTTTACTACTGAGGAAACAGACAGAGAGAGGTCACAATTTGCTCAAGATTACCCAACAAATAAATGGTTTGAAATTGGAACTAGAATGGAGGCCTCTGGTGCTGTTTAGTTCCCTTTCCAGTACCCTAAACTGTCTAAACAGCAACTTAATTTGTTTTGCAGAGAAAGAGAAATAGTTTAAAAGGTAGACTGGAAAACACTTCTAAGAATAGAAACATAAAACTTGATAGCTTTTATTCATTCGCTGCCTACTATGTAAGAAACATTCAATAAATAAAATTTTTTAAAAGATTTTTTTTTAATGACAGCCAGTTAGAGGTGGGAGAGAAGGAAACAAGAAAAAAAAAACATAACTTGAATGTTCTCCAAAGTCCTGAGAAGTATAAATTTAATTTATTTACTCTTTTCTTGGTGGAGAGATGAGATTGTAGAAGACACCTTTTTTTCTAGAGGAGCTGCCTAGCCCATGATGACCCTTTTCTCTAAGCACTATGGAATTCTCAACCCCATGTCAAGTCTTATTTGTACTACAGGAGTCCAAACTCCTTCCCTGTCTTGGCCACAGCTGGCATGACCCAAGCTGAGACATTCATTTGTTCTCCTTGGAACTAGAAATTGGGATGAAGAGGGTCTACTCTGGTCTACACTGTAAGCTGCCCCAGGTGCTCTCAGTCTACAGGAAAAAGCCAGCCAGCAAAGAGAGAAGAATAAACATGCTGCTCAGAGTGAATCGGACCCAGAGGGCTTTGGAGCCCCAGAGGAAAGAAAGGGAATGAGTTTCTGCTCAGGGGCTCTAGGGCTTTCCTATCCCAGGTATACTCCCCCAGAGGCCCAAAGCACTTCCTTCCCTAGGGTTTTAAGAATCCCCTGGACCTTAAGAGTAAATGGCTCCCCTCTTCTGAGCTTAAATTTTTTTAACTGATTTCTGATTACTGCAACAAAAATAATCTTGTTCAAGAGAGTAAAGACTTTTGTATTAAAAAAATAAAAGGAGAGTGGCCAGCCTGGTGGTGCAGCAGTTGAGTTCACACATTCTGTTTTGGCAGCCCGGAGTTCGCTGGTTTGGATCCGGAGTGCAGACCTACGCACTGCTTGTCAAGCCATGCTGTGGCAGGCATCCCACATATAAAGTAGAGGAAGATGGGCATGGATGTTAGCTCAGGGCCAGTCTTCCTCAGCAAAAAGAGGAGGACTGGCAGCAGATGTTGGCTCAGGGTTAATCTTCCTCAAAAGAAACAATAAATAAAAATAAAAGGAGGGCTAGCCCGCTGGCATAGTGGTTAGGTTCACATGCTTTGCTTTGGTGGCCCAGGGTTCACACACAGACCTACACACATGGCTCATCAAGCCATGCTGTGTGGCATCCCACATACAAAATAGAGGAAGACTGGCACAGATGTTAGCTCAGCGACAGTGTTCCTCAAGCAAAAAGAGTAAGACTAGCAACAGACATTAGCTCAGGGCCAATCTTCCTCGCCAAAAAAATAAAAGGGCAGATACACCAGAATTTGTTTTAAATGAAGATCCTGCAGAATGTCCAAGCTTGGGTTCAGAAAAATTCTCATTAACTTGAGACAGAGAAAAGCCCACACTGTTACATGGGCAGTACTATATCAACTTTTACAGAGACAATGACTTACTTTTCTAGGAGTAACATTTCTGTGTAATTTTAAGACTCTGAGAACCTTACTGCAATTTAAGGCATACTCTAGATCACTTCTTGTTATATAATCAACTCTGTCACAATTAAGCAAAAACCTATTAACCATGATAGAGGAAAGAAAAAACGGGCTAAACTGAGTCGGTCTTGTTTTGAAGCATAATAGTATAACCTTTCTTTTTGTTTCTTAAAACTTCTTAAATTCTAGGCAAACCACACAGCTTTAATGTGAGACTGGCACCCTAGGTGCTCGGAGAGGGCACGAAAGGGAAGCGAAAGGGCCAGAGTGGTGGGCTTGACAAGGAGGGCAACACCAGTTCTGACTTTTTCCTAAGGTAGAGCTGAGGGAAGGCTGACTCCAGTCTCTCCATTCTATACATGAAAAGACCTAAACCCAGGAGAGGTTTACCCCAGCCAGTTTATTCACTCAGTAAAAATGTGCTGAGTACGTGCTCCGTGCCAGGTACTGTACCTGGCACCAGAATCAGCACTGTATTCCGCTGAGCTGCCTAACTCCAGGGTTACACATTTTTCTCTCCATTCTTTGACCCTCACTGGAAACAGAAAGTCCACAGGCCTAAAATAGTTCACTTTTTGTCTGTTTGTTTGTTTGGGGATCTTAGGGAAAAAAAGAAATTTGTTGTTAATATTTAAAAGGTGGGAAGATTTACCTAAAATTCTATATTCTCATTTTCTTTTGGAAAGTCCAAAAATCTGGCCACCGAGGCCAGCTGTCCTGCCTCCGGATAACTGGCTGATGCTGTGTCGTGACCTGCCTCTTATCACAGGTATGTACTTTCCAAAACACCCACCTGGCTGCATGACACTTATTTGCCTTCTAGGCCTGACTCCTGTAGGCAGCCATGCTTGTGACCCTGAGCCTATGTTGTTTTCCTAAGTCTCTTCTCCCACATGAAAAACCACAAACTAAAAATTTTAAAAGCAGATTACATGTCAGCTATAGGCATATTCTCCAGAAATATGAATTAACGTGGTCCCTGGTTTACCCTCCTACCCAAGTTCCACCTTGCTTTCACCCTGACAGGCTTCCTCCTTGGCAAAGCAAATTTAAGAATGAAACTGTAGGGGCCAGCCTGGTGGCGCAGTGGTGAAGTTCCCATGTTCCGCTTCAGCGGCCCAGGGTTTGCTGGTTCAGATTCCGGGTGCAGACATGGCATTGCTTGGCAAGCCATACTGTGGTAGGCGCCCCACATATAGAGTAGAGGAAGATGGGCACAGACGTTAGCTCAGGGCCAGTCTTCCTCAGCAAAAAGAGGAGGATTGGCAGCAGAAGTTAGCTCAGGGCTAATCTTCCTCAAAAAAAGAAAAAGAATGAAACTCTATACTCCACACAACCTGTCTTTTCAATTGTGCTGCTGAATATCCCCCTCTTCAAAGGTCAGCTGGAGTTTTTGCACCTACTGAGCTACAGGGACTGCTCTCGGGTCAGAGTCATTCCAC